CGTGGTGATCCACGGGGTGGCAGGCAGCGTGGGCCGTGCGAGGAGGAGAGCGGCGCCGACTCTGATGCCACGGAGGAGGATTTGAATCCTTTCGCCGAGGAGGAGCCGCGACTGGAGGAGGCGGCGTTGGGCGATCGGCGATGGGAGGCGGCGTTTAAGGTCGATATTCCTGAATTTATCGGGGGTCTCGACGGGGCGGAATTTCTTGACTGGTTGGGCTCGGTGGAGGCGTCTTGGATTACAAAGAAGTCCCGGACAACCAGCGCGTGGGTCTGGTCGCCACGCGTCTTCGGGGGAGTGCGATCGCGTGGTGGCTTCACCTCACGGAGTCGCGACGATAGTTGGGCAAACCTAAGATCAAATCCTGGGCCAAGTTTCGCAAGCACATCGAGCGCGAGTTTCTTCCCTTCAATTACGTGAGCACTATGTACCAACAGCTTCATAATTTACGCCAGGGTACTCGGTCCGTAGATGAATACACCCATGATTTTTATCGTCTTCTCAACCGCGTAAAGATGCGTGACACACAGGCTCAATTGGATTCACGTTATGTTAGCGGATTCCGGGTTGGCATACGCGACATGTTGAATATGTTCGCGCCTGAGAGTGTTTTGGCCGCTCATCACTGGGCTTTGCTCATCGAGCAACAACAGCGAGGTCGGCCAGTCCCGCCGGCGGGCTTTCAGTCGCGCTCGTACCTGCCGGCGTCCTCAGCGGCGGCTTCAACGCGGCCCGCGGCTTCGGGTGGGCAGCAGCTCAGCCGTACCGGGGCGCCTGGCTCTTCCAGCTTTTCTGCAGGTGGTGGGTCGTCCTGTACGCCGGTTGGATTTGGTCCGTCGCAGGCTCAAGAGGTTGCGCGATCGGGTGGTGGGCCACGGTGTTTTTCCTGCGGTGAGGCCGGTCATCGGCTTTCGGCTTGTCCACGTCGGGGTGGTTCTCGGGCCTTGGTGGCAGATTTTGAGGTTGAGGGTGCTACTGGGGTTGTGTATGACGGGCCTCCGGTGTTTGACGAGGAGCCCGAGCCTTTGGAGGAGCATTTATTGGGAGATGTGGGCCCGACCTTGGTCCTTCGCCGTTTGTGTTTCTCACCCCGAGCTACTCCCGAGGACTCTCTCCAACGCCATAATCTTTTCGAGTCCACTTTCACGGTGGGTGGTAAGGTGTGTCGTTTCATCATCGACACTGGTTCGTGTGAGAATGTGGTGGCTCAAGAGGCCGTCGATCGCCTTAAGTTGTCCACCGAACCACATCCTCGTCCTTACACATTGGCATGGATCCAGCGGGGCAGTTCCATTACGGTAGATCACCGGGTTTTGGTGCAATTTTCCATCAGCCCTAAGTTTCGGGACACAGTATGGTGTGACGTGGTCCATATGGATGTTTGACATCTTTTGTTGGGCCGTCCTTGGCAGTTCGACCGTGCGGTCGTCTATGACGGGCGACAGAACACTACAGATTTTTGTTTGAGGGCACTCGTTTGGTACTCCATCCTTCCCCTCCTCATACTTTGTCTACTGATCCTTCTTCGTCGGTTCTTTTCTATCTCGTGCATCTTTCGTCAGTGAAATGCAGAACTCGCCTTTTGTGCTTGTGCTTCTGGGGATCGACATAGGGACCGAGGGGTCGCCTCCCCCCGTTATTCAGCAATTACTTGATGAGTTCTTGGATTTTTTCCCGGCGGAGCTACCGGCAGGTCTTCCACCTCTTCGAGACATCCAGCACCAGATTGATTTGGTTCCCGGGGCTTCTTTGCCTAACCGTCCACATTATCGCATGAGCCCGGCAGAACATGAGGAGTTGCGTCGCCAGGTGGAGGACCTTTTGCAGCGTGGTGTTGTCCGTCGTAGCTTGAGCCCGTGTGCTGTCCCGGCCCTCCTCATTCTGAAGAAGGACAGTTCATGGCGTATGTGTGTTGATAGTCGGGCCATTAACAAAATCACGGTTCGTTATCGTTTTCCTGTTCCCCGACTTGATGATCTGTTGGACCAATTGCATGGTGCTACCGTCTTTACCAAGTTGGACCTCCGAAGTGGCTATCATCAGATTCGCATACGACCGGGTGACAAGTGGAAAACAGCTTTTAAGATTCGTGAGGGTCTTTTTGAGTGGCTTGTGATGCCATTCGGTCTTTCGAATGCCCCTAGTACTTTCATGCGAGTGATGAACCAGGCTTTATGGGACCTCATTGGGCATTGTGTCGTCATCTATTTCGATGATATTCTCATATTTAGTCGGACTGTGGAGGACCACTTGTCTCATGTTCACTCGATTCTTCAGATTTTGCAGGCGGAGCGTTTTTATGCGGCGCCCAGTAAGTGTTCTTTTGTCGTCGACTCGGTTCTTTTCTTGGGATTCTTTATTTCTGCTGACGGCATTCGGGTGGATGATAGCAAGGTCGCTTCCATTCGCGACTGGCCCACGCCGACTCCTTTCACGGAGGCTGGCAGCTTCCACGAGCTTGCCTCCTTCTACCATCGTTTCATCTCTCACTTCAGCTCCATTACTGCACCTATTACGGATTTCCTTCAGGGCAAGACGTTCACTTGGACGCCTCAGGCAGCGGCGGCTTTCGACCTTATCAAAGGCAAGTTTACCTCCGCTCCGGTTCTGGCTCTGCCCGACTTCTCTATTCCCTTCGAGCTCTCTTGTGATGCGTCCAAGGTGGGCATCGGCGCGGTTCTTAGTCAGAGTGGGAGGCCCGTGGCCTTCTTCAGCGAGAAATTGTCGGGACCTCGCCTCCGTTACAGCACCTATGATGTTGAGTTCTATGCTGTTTACCGTGCTGTTCGACATTGGCGCCACTATCTCTTTCAGCGCGAGTTTATTCTTTTTACCGACCACGAGGCTTTGCGCCATCTCTCGTCTCAGGACAATATTTCAGCCCGCCATGTGACTTGGACTTCTTATTTGCAGCAGTTTACTTTCGTCCTCAAGCATCGTTCAGGGGCGTCTAACCGCGTGGCGGATGCGTTGAGCCGCCGTTCATTATTGCTTACGGACATGCGGGTTGCGGTTG